GATCCCTCTGCACGTCTGTGGAAGCTGAAGGGGAGTTCCTTGCCACGCAGCTCCACCTGGCCAGAAAGGGCTCCCAACTGAAGAAAAGGAAAAGAAAACCAACAAACAATTAAAAATGAACAAACAAACAAAATCCCTGGGACCCCACCAGCGTGGTAGCCCAGACCAGGAAAGAGCTCCACACTTGAATGGAGCTCCACAGCCCCTCAGGAAGAAGCAAAGATGGCCCACGGAGCCAGGCACTCGAGCGAAAGGATGGGGAGGCAGCAAGAGGCAAGCAAGAAATCCAAAGAAGCAGAAAAGAAAAAAAATAAAAGCAACACCAGCAGCCAACAAATGGCACTCAGAGCCAGCCAGCGTGGGCTGGTGTTTCTGGACAAGAGACTGTGTCCGCGGGAAGCAGAGGAGGCCGAGTGTACGTGATGAAATGTAGAGAGTGGGAAAGCATATATCACAAATTGCCAGCACTCTGCAGCCCCTCAGGAAGAAGCAAAGATGGCGCATGGAGCCAGACACTCCAGTGAAAGGAGGGGGAGGTTGCGAGAGGCAAGTGACAAATCAAAAGAAGGAGAAAAAAAAGAGCAACACTAGTAGCCAACAAATGGCACTCAGAGATCTAGCTAATGTGGGCTGGTGTTTCTAGACAAGAGACTGGGTCCATGGGAAGCAGAGGGGGCCGAGTATGGGTGAAGAAGTTTAGAGAGTGGGAAAGCGTTTATCACAAATTGCTGGTGCTCTGCATCCCCTCAGGAAGAAGCAAAGATGGCGCATGGAGCGAGACACTCGAATGAAAGGAGGGGGAGATGGCCAGAGGCAAGAAAGAAATCAAAAGAAGTGGAAAAAAGCAACACCAACAGTCAACAAATGGCACCCAGAGAGCCGCCCGCTTGGATGTGTGGAATCCAAGCAGCTGGGGCTTCCCGGTCAAGAGACCGTGGCCGTGGGAAGCAGAGGAGGCTGAGCCGGGGCGAAGAGGGATGGGGGGTGGGAAAGCACACACCACAGATTACCGGTTGTTCTATCTCCTGCTGGGCGCTTCATGAGGCTGCTTTCTCATACCCCCGTTTGCTGGTCTCTGATAGGAGTCCAAGATGGTGGAACCACACTGCGTTAGCTGGTAGGGGACCTCTGCATGAATCTCTCCTCGCTCTCCGTTCTCTGTCAGTTTTCTCACTCCATTTGGTGCTTGGCTGAGTTCTTTACCTCTTCATTTGATGTTTTAGGGTTTCAGGATTGTTGTATTCTCTGTTCGGCTTAGTTTTTCAGATCTTTGCTGTGGAGGGACGGCATGGTGCTTCTGCCTAGAGCACCATTTTGCTGGAACTCTTTTTTTTTGTACTTTAGATGAAGATTTACAGAACAGAATAGTTTCTCATTAAATAGTTGGTACACATATTGCCCTATGACAGTGGTAAATCCCATGACATGTCAACACTGCCCTTTCTCAAACTTGGGTTCCCTATAGCCAGCTTTCCTGTCCCCTCCTGCCTTCTAGTCCTTGTCCCTGGACTGCTGTACCTCATTAGTCCTGTTTTGTTTTATGGGGCTGTCCAATCCTCGGCTGAATGGTGAACCTCAGGAACGACTTCACCACTGAGCTAAAAGGGTGTCTGAGGCCATACTCCTGGGTTTCTCCAGTCTCTGTCAGGCCAGTAAATCTGATCTTTTTGTGTATTAGAATTTTGTTGTATATCCTTCTCCAGCTCTGTCCAGGACCCTCTGTTGTGATCCTGGTCAGAGCAGTCAGTGGTGGTAGCCAGGCACCATCTAGCTGTACTGGGCTCAGTCTGGTGGAGTCCTTGGTAGCTGTGGTCCATTAGTCCTTTGGACTAATCTTTTCCTTGTAGGCTGTTCTCTTCATTCTCTCTTGTTTCCGAAGAGGTGAGACCAGTGCAGTATCTTAGATGGTTGCTCACAGGCTTTTAAGACCCCAGACGCTACTCACCAAGGTAGAATGCGGAACATTGTCTTTATAAACTGTGTTATGCCAATTGAGCTAGATGTTCCTGAGAGCATGGTCCCCACAGCCCCCTACCCAGCAATTCAGTCCCTCAGGGAGTTTGGATGTGTCTATGGAGCTTCCATGACCTTTCTTTGTACAAGTTGTCCTGGCTTCCCCAGTATTGTATACAGTCTTACCCTTCACCAAAGTTACCACTTATATATTGTCTGTTTAGTATTCCCCCCCATCCTTTGTAACCAACAAAGACTGTTACTTTTTGCATGTAAACTTTTTTATGAGTTTTTAGAGTAGAGGTCTCATACAATATTTGTCCTTTTGTGATTGACTTACTTCACTCAGCATAATATCCTACAATTTGATCCATGTTATGAGATGCTTCACAGATTCATCATTGTTCTTTATCATTGCATAATACTCCATTGTGTGTATGTACCATAGTTTGTTTAACCATTCATCTGTTGATGGGCATCTAGGTTGTTTCCATCTTTTTGCTATTGTGAACAATGCTGCAATGAACATGAGTGTGCATATGTCTATTCGAGTGATGACTCATTTCTCTAGGATATATTCGTAGGAGTGGGATTGCTGGGTTGTATGGTATGTCTATTTCTAGCTATCTAAGGAAGCACTATATCATTTTCCAAAATTGTTGTATCATTATGCATTCCCACCAGCAGTGCATAAGAGTTCCAATCTCCCGGCAGCCTCTCCAACATTTGTTATTTCCAGTGTTTTTTGATTCATGAGTGCTTTCTTTGGGGTGTGGCAGCACGGGCCGGGAAGCAGTTTCACATTTCAGCGGCATTTCACAGTGTTTCAGGAAAAAGCAAAGATGGCGCTCAGAGCCAGGTATTTGAGAGAACGGAGGGGGAGGTGGTGAGGGGTAAGGAAGAAATCTAAACAAGCAGAAAAAAGCAATACCAGCAGCCAACAAATGGCACTTAGGGAGCCAGCCAGTGCAGGTGGGTGGAACCCAAGAGACACCAGGGAGAAGGTAGTGCTTCCTGGCCAAGACACTGGCTGCAGGAAGCAGAGGAGTCTGAGTAGGGGTGAAGATGGGGTGTGGGTGGGAAAGCGTATATCGCTGGTTACCGGTTGTTCTGTCTCCTTCCGGAAGCTCCGTGAAGCTGCTTTCTAGTACCCTCTGTTTGCTGATCTGATAGGAGTCCAGGATGGCAAATCCGTGCTGCATTAGCTGATGGGGACCTCTGCATGTATCACTCCTTGTTCTCTGTTCTTTGTCAGTTTCTTATTTCATTCGATGTTTGGCTGAGTTCTTTATCTCTTCATTTGATGCTTAGGGTTTCAGGATTGCCGTTTTCTCTGTTTGACTTAGTTTTTCAGATCTTTGCTGTGAACGGACAGCATGGTACTTCTGCCTATAGCTCCATGTTGCCCAGAAATCTCAATTTAAACTTCTTGCCACGTTCTATACATCCCAACAGTATTGGGCGCTGCCCATGCCTCCAACCTAATCTCCTCCCTATGTTCTTCCTCTGGTTTGCTTTGCTTCATCTGTGGCTTTTTTTTGGTATTTTAAACATGCTAAATATATTCTCATTTCATGGCATTTGTACTTACAGTTCCTTCTATTTTGAATGCTCTTTCCATATGCTTGCCTTCTTCTCATTATTTAGGCCTCAATTCATGTCACTGCTCATGGAGAATGTCTCTGATCACCCTGGCTACCTGGATACTTTTCATTACTAACTTGATATTCATCCTATGCTATAACTCTCCTGTTATAGCCACTGTCTGTCAAAACTGCCCTATTTATCTTCTTCATAACACTTATTTATTGGTTTATTTAAACATATATTATGTGGTGTTCTCCACTATAATGCTATCTCCCTGAGGGTAGAGATTTTGCCTATCTTCTTAGGTATTGTATCTCAAACTCTTAAACATGTTTAGCATGTCATAGAATGTCAATAAATACTTGCTAACGGACTAGCAAATTGAGCTTTCCTTTTACTATACATGAGTGTTAGAGAAACATAAAAAATAGCTGATTAATAAGACCTGAATATTCCCCAAAATATTTTAAAATCTTTTTATTTAGAAAAGAAACTTGTAATATATAGATTAAAAAAAAAAAACAAAAACACTGCCATCAAGTAGATTCCAACTCATAGCGACCCCCTAGGACAGGGTAGAACTGTCCATAGGGTTTCCAAGGCAATAAATCTTTATGGAAGCAGCATGTCACATCTTTCTCCTGAGGAGTGGCTGGTGGGTTCTAACTACTGGCCTTTCAGTTAGGACCAGAGTGCTTAACTACTACATCATCAGGGCTCCTTCATAATATATATAGATAGAAACTAATATATGTCAGACTTTTTTTATTTTTTCATTGACAAGGGTTTATAGAGATATTTTTCAGAGTGAAAATAGTCTATTTTTTAAAATAGATAGATAGAAATTAATAATTACCTAGGAGTATCATTCAGGGTTTCAAAAGGAAATAGCACACTAAATTTGCATATTTTGAGGAAAGGTTAATAAAGAGATTATTTACCAGCATGTGAGCAGGGTTTAGAAAAAGCAATGAGAAGGAATCCTGGGGCTATAACAGCAGGGAGCCATGGTTACCCCTATACCTGAAGGGACAAGAGGAAGAACAAATACCTAAACCCAGAGAGACATGCACAGAGAAGGCCTCCTGATAGCAGCTGTGGCCTTTCATAGAAGAATCTATCTAACCCAAGAAGACCTGCCAGGAAGGGCATTAGGGAAATAAATATTCACCTTGACTCTCCTCCTGCTGCTGGATCTCCCACAGGCTGGTTCTCCCATGAGCAAAACTCATCGATGGATGCTGCACACCTGGGTCAATTTCCCAGAGCACAGAGAAGGGTGAGGCAGGTGTGAGGTGGACCTGCAGGAGCAAATGGAAGATACCCAGCACATCGGAAAATTCAAGTAAAAGCATAAACTATGGCCCTATCAAAGAGTTAACAGGCCAGGTAGGAGACAAACCAACAAATATTTAAGAATTACAGCACAACCTAGTAGTAAAGCAGGGATCCATAGCCTTCTAAACTTTTTCTGCCAAGGTTCAGATCCATTTTCTTCTCTTATGCAAGGGAAAAAAGATGTTTGATGCTGACTCATTAAAAACAAATGGATAACATGAGTGGCTGAACATAGGACTTCTGTTTTCTTTCCTTCTTTGCTTCTGTCCTTCTTCCTTCCCTCCTTCCTCTTTCCTCCTCTCTCTCCCTCTCCTCCCTTCCTCCTCCCTCCCCCCTCCCCCCTCCCTCCATCCTCCCTCTCTTCCTCTCTCCCTCCTTCCTTCTTTTCTTCTTTTTTCGTATTTAACTTTTGTAAGCCTAAGGTGATGACACTGACTCATTTCACACAGGAGAGCTAGTGGGAGCAATGATGGCTCAGGGCCACATCTGCGTGTGTCCTGTAGTACACATTGCCAAGTATTGTTATGCTCAGGAGTTTGTATTTTTAACAGAATGTCACAAGTAATTAAATAGATGAATAGACTTTAATAACTTTCTGAAACTAAATTTTGGAAAGTATGAAAACCAAAGAACCTTATACCACTATCAAATTTTTCTAATTTGTGAGGTTCCAAGCATTGTAATTCAGAATCAATACCAAGTTGCCCTCAACTTAGTACTACCCATGCAATATCGCGAACCTGATTTTCATTTCTTTCCCTGTCAGCTTTTTAAGAAAGATCATAGCCACTCAGAAGGAGTTACTGAGAGAGGCACTTGCTTCTCCAGCACAATAAAAGAAAGTACCAGAAAGGTCAAACATGGTGACAATTTTATCTTTTTGACCTTGGCCCTAAATAAGCAATTGGCTATCTGCAAGGTAGCAAATCATGAAAGGATTTAATTTTTTTTCCCTGAATGTTTCTTGCTCAATTTATTTAATTTATTTGACCCAAAGACATTTGGGTAAGAAGATCCAAAATATTTCATACAACATTTATGGACCTGGGCATGGGAGATCCAGACTATTTCACACAAGTTTAATGGACCTGGACATGGAAGAGTAAGGGTTAGGAATAAGAACAGAGAAGTCTAGAGGAGAATCAAAAGGGCCCGAAGGAACTAGAAATTTGGTGGTGGAAATATCAAGCTGCTGGAACCCAGGATCTGCCTTAGATTCTGAACTTGAACTAGGAATTTTCAACAATGGAGTTGTGTATACAGCAAAAAAGAGAGAGTTAGAAAAATGAAGAAAGGAAGGGGAGAAAAGTTACACAAAAAAAGAAAAAAGGGGAAAGCCTAGGAGAAGAGAAAGAAAAGGAGAGGAGAAATGGAAAGAAGAGAGAAAAGGGAGAAAGGGAAAAAGGGAGTGAATAAATTAGAAACCGCATGGGAAATGAGCCTACTTGGAAGGCAGAAAGGCTATACTGGTTTTACTTTTTCTAGGCATGAGTAAGCCAATTGCAAACAGTTTTCAGTAGAGGAATTTCAAAGCCTCCTCGCCTTTGGAAATTGAGTTCAGCAAGAAAAATCCAAACGTATTTTGACAAATGCATCATGAAAAGAAAAATAAAAGCTTATTCAAAAGTATTTCATGTGAACATTGAACACCTGAATTATTAACACTTATTGTGGAAAACAATCTTCAGTCCTGAGTTATGAGATGATCAATTTAGTAAGGTGCAGTTTTAAGCAATGCCATTTTCAAGGAAAATAAATAAAAAGCTAGCAGTGTAAGTGGAAGCCAGGCCGGAATAAGCCAGTGTGAAGGGAAGGCATTTCCCTTTGCTTTATTTTCTCCTTCAAATGTTTTACCCTTCTATCTACTAGTAATACTAATACTGGTAAGCACACCACACACACACACACACACACACACACACACACGCACACTCTAGTGTGTGCACACACAGCTGCTTCTGAAGGAAGGGAGCTTTTAAGGTGCTAATGTGAGTCGCTGGCTCAATTGGTGTACGAGAGAGTCAGGTTTGCCTGTGTGACCCTGTTATGTGTGTGTGTGTGTGCGCACAGAGCCTTAAAACAGCAAACTTAAAGCAAGTTTGGAATTCCAAATAAGAAGCAGAATATATTGGACTAATTTTCTATGGTCTTTGGGGAGCTTTCTTTTGTGATAGAGAGAGAAAGAAAATACAGCAGTCATCACCAAAGTCTCAGCCTCTGACAGTAAGCAATTGTTCTTACTATGTAGTTTCAACTGTCCTGTGCAGTAGGATTTCCTTTGCTCTGTTTGGGATCCAGTTTCATAAATAACTCCCCAGGCGAGGGCATATATTCTGACATTCAGGCCTGAAGTCTTTTTCTTTATTTTATTGACCTATTCCCTGGTATACTTTCAGAATTCCCTGAAAAATTATTTTACCTACCTGGCTATATATGTCAACAGTAAATAAACAACCGGACAGTTTTCTACTCCAGTAGATGTTTCCTGGAGTAACACAAATGTTTTGGATGGTGATTGTCTTGATGGGTGGAATGCACACTGACATGTTAAGTATGGAAAGTCAGTCAGGCCTTCCTCACACGTAAGAGCCTTGTGCAAACGCCGGCTGAGGCCCCCTGTGGGAAGATCTCTGTGCGGCCCCAGAGGTGAGATCCAAGTGGATCCTGCCCAGGAGTAAATGTATTCATAGACAGTGAATTTCTCACGAAAATTAGAAACTACAATTGCTTGCTTGACATGTTTTTTTATTTCTGCTTTTGCTTCCTTCTCCTTCTGATAATGATATTATTTTTCAACAGGCTACTAGCACACATTTAAAATTACATTTGTAATTTTAATGTGTTTCTATTACAAATCTAATTCATCGTGTATGCAGATGACTTTTCAATTATCTACTTAAAAATCACCTTTTGGACCAACCAACATGAGGTAATGAAAATATAAACTTCTATACTTCTTTTAGAAATAATTCAGCAATACTTATCAAGAACTTTTAAGACTACCCTTAACTTTTGATTTCAGAATTCCTCTTACAGGAAGTTACCGTGAAAAAAAGACAATCATAAATGTACCCAAATATTGGTATATAGATTTATTTATTATTTTTTAAAAATCTTGAAAATTAAATAATCAACATAAGGGTATCAGTTTAATAATGGTGTTATCACTTGATGGGATAGTATACAATCATCAAAAATAATCATATTTCAAAAATATTTAATGATGTGAAAATGCTCATAATAGATCTTGTTTTAAAAGCTGATGGAAATGTCTTTTGAGTATAATTCTAATTCGAAAAAAATGTATGATACATATCTTAGTTATGGTAACAACAGCTGAAAGCTCGGCTGTAGGTTCAGTCAATGGCAATGAAAAACAAAGAAACAATTTACTTTATGCAATTACACATACACCCAGAGCCCAAAGATGATGTAAGCCATTCATTTTCTTTCCTACAAAGTTCACTTTTCAACTAATGATGAGTCTACCTTGGAGGGTATCTAGTATTGCCTTCATGCCAGGAATCCCTTGGTCTTTTTATCTCTTCTCTCTCCCCCTGGAGTTTCAGCTGTCTCCTGGAGCAACAGCATCTTGTCCTTGAGTTTCTGGCTGCAACACCTGGTTCATCCTGAAAAGGTAGAACTGTGTTGATTGTGAGGTTTTAGGCTATATAGACTGTTTATATTTATTTTCAGAATAAAGTATTCACAAAACAAACAGTTTTTTTTTTAACTAATATTGATTACCTGTAACTATCTTACCCCTTCCTACATAGATGGGAGGTACAAGGAAAAAGAAAGAAAGAAATAGAAAATTTCTCCACACACACACACACACATATACACGCGCACACACACATGCAAATATACACATAGTATTAGCTTCCTAGGGCTACTCTAACAAATTACCACAAGCTGACTGGTTTCAAACAGCAGAAATTTATTGTCTCACAAAATCAAGGTTTTGGCTCCTTCCGGAAATTGTGAGGGATAATCTGTTCCATGGTTCTCTTCTAGTGTCTAGTAGTTTCTGACAATCCTTGGCATTCTTTGGCTTGTAGTTCCATCACTCCTATCTCTGCCTCCTTCACATGGACACCTTACAAGGACACCAGTTATTGGATTTATCACCCACACTAATCCAGTATCCTAACTAATTACATCTGCAAAGACCCTATTTAATGAGATTACACTCTGAGGTTCTGGGTACACATGAATTTTGGAGGGATGCTATTCAACATGGTACACACACACACATACACATTTGAAAGAAAAATATTCAAAATATTATCAGTGGTTATTTCTGGGTTGGGGACTGTTGGTGACTTTAATTTTCTTAGCGTTATTTTTAGAATTTTCTAAAATGAACATATTCCATAGTCATAAGATAATTGTCTTTAAAAGAGTCCATTTGAGAGAGAATATATAAATCTTCAAACTGTGAACTGTTGATAGCATTTGTCCTCACTCTACCTCAGTCTTCTTAAATTGCACTGAATTTAACCCTGTTAGGGGGCACAGTGGTGAAGAGTTGGGCTGCTAACCAAAAGGTTGACTGTTCGAATCCACCAGCCACTCCTTGAAAACCCTGTGGGGCAGGGGCAGTTCTACTGCATCCTATGTGGTCGCTAAGAGTTGGAAATCAACTCTTCTGCAGTGGGTTTGGGTTTTTTTTTGGTATAGGTACAAACAGATGGAAGAGGAACATTGCAGTGCCATAGATGGCTTTTGTGTGGCCTTTCTAGCCATCGTCCTGTAACTCCCACCCAAGTGATTGGGCAGGACTGTGTGATACAGTAATTGTGGCCCACCAAAGGGATTGGTCTGTTTTTCCATCCCACTGGGCTTTGAAATAAGCCACCCTAGAGCCGGAGAAGAAAAGCCAGAAGCCAGCAGGTCTTTGGGACCTAAGGTCCCTGCACTGGGGGGCTCCTGGGACCAAGAGACAGAGAGAGCAAGCTGTAACCCTGAAAACAGTGAGAAGTGGTGGCAGGAGAGACCTGGCAGCAGGAGACGGCACTGTGGGCTTCCTAGCCCACGGAGAGAGAAATTAGAGTGCCTAGGCACAGGGAGAGGTATGCCTGCAAGCACAAAGTGGGAGGAGGCTGTCCTGATGGAAAAACTGTATCCCTGAGTGTTCCTGAGCCTGAATTGTAACCTGATACTTCCATAATAAACCCCATAATTGTGTATGGTCTGTAAGTTCTGTGTGACCATTGCAATGAATTACTGAACTCAGCAAAGAATTATTGAACCCGTGGGAGGGGCGGTTGGTGTCAGAATTGGTAAAGATGGTGGAGAGAGGAGGCATGTCTGACCTCTGCTTTATAGGAATCAGCCTTGGGCTGTTAGTCTTTATTCTCCTTCCCCTTTGTGGAGTTAGAGGAGGTCAGAAACTGACCCCATGCAGTTTTTACAAACGTGAACTCAAATATCCATAAAGAGATGCTGGCTAATAGTGTTCAATATAGTTTTTAAAATTTTATTTTGTTGTTGTTGTTGAGAATATACACAGCAAAACATACACCAATTCAAAAGTTTCTGCATGTACAATTCAGTAGCATTGATTACATTCTTTGAGTTGTACAACCATTCTCACCTTCCTTTTCTGAGCTGTTCCTCCCCTATTAACATAAACTCATTGCCCCCTAAGTTTCCTATCTAATCTTTCAAGTTATTGTTATCATTTTAATCCCACATAGGTAGCTCTTAAAAGAGCATAATGCTCAAGGCAGACATTTTTTGTTAGTTAAGTTAAGCTATTATTTGATTTTAAGAAGACCTCATGGGATATTTTTGGTTTAAGTTTTAATGATTATGTCAGGGCAATAGTTTTAGGGGTTCACCCACCCCCCATGGCTCCAGAAAGTCTGGGATCCATAAGAATTTTAAATTCTGCTGTACATTTCCCCCCTTTTGATCTGGATCATTCTGTAGAATCTTTGATCAAACTGTTTGGAAATGGTAGCCAGGTATCATCCAGTTCTGGTCTCATGGCAAAGGAGACAGTTGTTGATGGAGGCAATTAGCCACATATTTCATACCCTCCTCCTCTTCCTGACTTTCCTTACTCCTCTGTTGCTGCAGGCAAATAGAGACCAATTGCTGTGGCTTGGATGGGATGGCCACCTGCAAGGTTTTAAGTTCCCAGGTGCTACACAACGAACTAGGAGGTAGAACAGAAGCAACTGTGTTCAATATTAACCTCTAAATTACATACGTATAGGATATTTTCCCTTAGTTTATTCCATTTACAATTACTATTGAGTAATAATAAACTATATATACCAAAGTATTTGGTCAGAAGGAATGTTACTTTAGGAGGTGATCAAAGTTAACACTTTGGCAATAGTTCAGTTTCAAATCATGTAAGATAATTTAATGTGAGGCAATTGGATTTGAGGGGCAGTCATGTTATTATGCTACCAGCTAACACTGAGTCTCTCTTCTTGGAGTTGTTCTGAGAGACAAAAACCTTCTTGGTCTAATTTGTCTCCAGGAAAACCATGGACAATCCTGGCCTACAGTTCTCCAGGAATCATTTGATCAACACTTAGATACATAAACTATATGAAATTCAATAAATTATACCAATCCATCAATCCTCTTGAGAAGATATTTTAAAATTCAAGGTAATGAGCTAAGCTCTTGGGTTCAGACCTTTTAAGGTGTCACTCATCATGACTGAGGCTGAGATGTAAATGTCAGCTTTGTTAATTAAGTTGTGCTGTTTCATCTACTTTTCAACTGACCTGGCAAATCCTAATGCTACGAATCATAACCAACACTTGGTTTTCATTCTCCCCTTGTACCCCTCCACCCCCAGCAAATCCAGGCAGTGTGAATTCAAGCCAGGGACAAATGTGTCCCTTTTCCAAAGCATTATCTGCACCAAATTGTACAATTTGGCATCTGCTTTGACAACTCTAGCAAGCAATCATTTTGACAGGAGACCATCTGTGTTGAACAATACTCACAGTGTCTACATGAACCAGAAAGGGAAAGAATGGTGTCTAGGAAGAAATAATTACCTAAAATGAACCTGGAGGTTGGAATTTAGAATCTCAGGGAGAATATATGCCATGAGTGAAACTCTTGAGACAGATTCATGTCTAGAATGACTTCAGAGACTAAGCATCTCCCTTGAGGATTGACGTGATGAAAAAGAAACACTTAATGAACAACTACCAGAACTGGATTAAGAAACTGAGCTCCAGTTGTTTCTCTCCTGTTAACTGACTGTTTTCTGGGTAAGCCACTCGACCTCTTGGCATTTTGTTCTCTTTTCTGCATTGACTAGTTGTGTGTTTCCTTGCATAAATCACTTAGCACTTGTTTGTCTATCTAATAGACCTCACCATTTCTGGGAATTTCCTCTCCTCTTCCACGAATCTCCCCAGCTCCACTCCATACCATACACACAGTAACAATAGAAACCACCATGATAATACAGTAAGCTTACCTTTTCCCACCTCTAGTCAAATTCATGGTGCCAATCGTTTTCTTTCCCTTCTGTTTAGAATTTGTTGCTGTTGTTGTTGAATGCTGTTGAGCCCATTTCGACTCATAGTGACCGCAAGTGACACAGTAGAAATGCCCCATAGGGTTTTCTTAGCTGTAGTCCTTATGGATACAGATTTCCAAGTCTTTCTCCTGCAGAGCTATTGAGTGGGTTCCAACTGCCAACATTTGGGTTAGCAGCACAGCACTTAATCTTTGCACAGCCAGATGTTTACAATAGGGCCTAAGAAATTCAAGCTCAGAATAATCAGCTCACTCTCTTGAATTGAGATATAAATTTCAGATCTTTTGGCAGAAGCCAATTACCGTATCATATACACAAGGAAATGGAGAAATTGTTTTGTGCAAAACAGAAGAATAAAGCAGATAAATGGACTAAAAGAAAAATTCAGATGAGAGATAGAGAGGCATACCTGTGAGAGCTAAATCCTTGGAATGATTTGTTCTCAAAGCCTAGATTTACAGCATTCCTTGGATTTTAGAAGAAATTCTAGTATCCTCATTATTTATCACTGTTTTTCCCCTTAAGCTTATTTGTCACTAGCAACAAAATGAAAGTTAACTAATTTAACATTTTCTAGGATATATCACTGAGAATTTCATCCTCAATAAGAAAAATACATAGCTCTAGTACAAAATCAGGATTCTGAATTATATGAGCTCTATCATTCCATACTGTTCTAATCTTCTATAGTTCTGTTTCCAGTAAGGTCAATATTTTGGTTGTGATTAGAGGGAAACGCAATGACAAGTAATATATCTTCTTTGTCCTCATGGGGGAGTGGTAAGACCTCCACACAGATAGCTACAAAATACATCAGCTTTTGATGCTTGCGCTAAGAGAAACTAGGGGAGCAGAAAGTACCTGCTCTACCCTGGTTTTACTAAGTGATTCTGAGTGTGCCTTTCATTGCAAATGAAAAATACAATTTAAACTATTGCTTTACATTTCTACGCAGCTGGCAACATCTGACTTTAAAATCCAAAGCTGACCTTGCTGGAAGAATAAAATGTCTGATTGTTATAATAAGCGACCTGACTGAGGTGGATCCCATTGCTATGGCCCATGACAACTCAATAGCCAAGTTACTGTCCTAAAGACTTGAATGGGTAATAAAATGTTTCATGATAGCTTTTGGTATTCTGGTGCAACTTGTCTGCTCACTGTCTTGTCAATATGTTCTCAGTCTCCTATATTGGGATCTTTACTTGTCCTCCAATCTGGAATACGATCCCTGCTCTATAGGGCTCAATTCCAACTTCACCTCCTGAAGGAAGCTTTTAGCCCACTTGATCCTGTACTGATTGTTCCCTGAATTGAAATAAGTAATGGTTGCCCTATTCATTTGAAAATCATACGTGTCCCTTGTTATGTTATGTGCCATGTTAGGACAGTGACAATTAAATTCCAAAGTTTCAGTGGCTTAACCCAATAGAGGTGTATTTCTTGCTCATATCACTGTCCAGAGTAGACTTCCAGCCAGCAGATGTCTTTTCCTCCACATGGTGATTCAGGAACCCAGAGTCCTTCCATCTTGGCCCCTTACAATATCCCCTAAAGCCTTGGGGTTTCTGTATTTTTCCAGCAGACTCAGGGAAGCATACTATCCTGACTTTGAAGTGACAAACATGTATTTTTCTCATCATCCATGGACAAAAACTAGTCACATAGCCTCACCTAAAGTGTGGTGGGAATTGTAGTCCCAGGCTGGATAGCCCCTTTTGAGTGCAACTCTAAACTATGGAGGTTGGGGTCTGAATTTTGGTTGATGGTTACGGTGTTTTCAACACAAATCTTATACTTGCACTTTATTTTCTCTCTCTCTCTGCTTTATTTATTTCAGTCCTTAAAATCCTTGGTGGTGAGGGGCAGAGGTTATATATTAATTTTTATCTTCCATAGCATATAGTATAATACCTTGAGCATAACTAGTTCTCAACAAGTGTGTCTTGATTGATTTGTACTAAATTATGAGAGCGAGAATTAAAGTGTTACCAAATTTCCTCAAATTGCCTGAATATCACCCTTTTCTCCGGTATGATGACTCTTAGGAGCAAATGAAGCATTCTTTACAACACAGTCATACATATTTTTGTTTGTTTCCTATAGTATTTTGCTTTAATCGATAAAATTTATTCCGTGAACATGTATAGAGCAATTATGAATTGCCAAACATTACGTCAGATGCTTTGGTAAAGGAGATGAATATTTTTCAGACCCTGGCCTCAAGAAGCACCCAGTCAAGACCAACAAGAATAAGCAGTGACAAGCATACAGACTGGTAGAGCCATACAGATACATATACAGGATAGAATGGAGGCTATAAGTAGAATACAGAGGGGAGCCCTCTCCCTTTAAAGTTTGATCCATTGAGGTGAGTATTAGAAGACTTGAGACCATCCTTCATCATGATAAATCAACACTGTTGATAAACAAGACATCATTATAGCACAATATGTTTTATCCAACACTTTTATGTTTATCATATTGTTTGCCTTTACTGCCATCCCTTCAGTTGGATGTTACTGTTATTTTCACTTTGGAAAGATTCAAAAACTGAGGCTCAGAGAAGCAAAATAGATTTCCTAAGATCATGAAATTAATAAATGGTGGGGCTCAGAGTTATCCCACTGCATGTAACAAATTTTGTATTTGTGTATTAGATAAGTTCTTAGATTCCTTCAGGCTCTATATTTTTTAGTGTTTGGAAAGGAAGAGTGAACTTCAAGGCTAATGATTTGAATACATCTTTGTGTACTGCGAGCCTGGTAGGTGCTGAGGAAATAAGAGTCCTAGTGAATGGGTGTGGAGGCATTTATGAAGCTGCATGTACCCATTTGGATCACTAGGGAGGTGTTACCAAAATTGTTTTTAATTGCCGCCAAATGGGCTCTGACTTATGGTGACCTTCTATATAACAGAATGAAACTTTGCCCAGTCCCGTCCTCTAACTAGCAACCCGATTATGTATTTCCCTGGAGATCCCAAAATATCAGTAATTGATTTGGGGTTCCAACTCATTAGTTTTTCTTTAAAGATGACAACACTTCAAATTAAGACACTGAGAGTACTCACTGAAAGTACAGAGCTCATTCACACTGGCTCTAGACCGCCTCGCTGGAATTGGGCAGTGTTACAGCTACACCTACTGGACTTCTCCTAAACCACAATTGGAGTTTCAACAGAAATGCACTATTTAAAGTCTTAATGCCAGTCTAGCTCTTTCTTTTTAGCAGATCTGCACTTACATATATGGGAAATAAGATAACTTTCCATGGAAAAACTAGTCACAAAAGTTTGTCTCAATTTCCATCTGGGTTAGTAAAGATTTTTACGTGGTGGGAAGATGACTTGACATTGTGTTCATTTTTAGACTAAAGTACAGTAAGGGGTGTCTCCATTCACCAACCAAGGCTAAGGTAGACTCATCGATGATATAGAACTGCAATGACATCTATAAACCAGAGTAATACACTTATAAAATACATTGATCTGCAGAGCACTCTTTACCTCTTTTTTTCTGGCTCCAAAGTAAAGGTCAAATTTAGTCTTTAATGAGATTTAAGGCCCCGCATGTCATCGCCAGTTTGTGTTCCTTTTGTCTCCTTCTGCTTTCTTTTCTCTTCCAGACCCTTCCACCTCCATCTTCCTCCCTGTCCTCCCATAAACTTGAGGCAGACTGTAGGTCTTATGCAACAATACCCACCACGGCATCTTGGATTTGTTAAGAGCTTTGCAGATGAGCTCAAACTCATATTTCATCTCATTCTTGAAGTCATCAGATTCAAGCTTGTCACATTTTCTGGACACAAAGCTCTAGGCATGTTTTATTCATTATCTGGTCTCATCTCTGAGACAAACACCTGCAACCCATTTCAGGTCTGGGAGACATCTATGATGTTTCAACCTACCATGCTTAGGTTTTCGTATCTCTGCTCGGGCCATGAATCTCAGCAGTGCATGTTTTACTGTAGCTACGTGGTGGCACGTCTAAGTACTAAGGTCAGTTGCTCGTGAGGTTGTCCTTGCTGCTGGTATTTGAGGGATAAATTGAAACTGATATAGGAAAAATCTCTTATTGGCCTTTTATGCTATATGCCATAAGCTCGAAACCATTTTCTTGAAATGTTCAGGAAGGTGGCAGAGAGACCAAGGTAAGTGCTATTGAATTGAGGGTTGCTGGCTTGATCATTGTTCCAATGGCCCACATACACAACCTCATGACTCACTGATAGTGAGGATTAGTGAGCAAAACACTGGGTTCACGGGATGAAAGTATGAAGCCTGGCAATGTCACTAACTTCCGGGTAACTCGTACAGTTGTTTCACTTTTCTGCCTTGGTGTACCCTGTGGAGGGAAGATAATTGTAAACTGATTAACTGTGCACAAGAAATGCCTTCCTTGTCAAGTGGTCAAAAGAGAGCAAGCACATGGTATAGATCGTGCATCCCCTGTAGATCCTTTAGAGTAAGAGCATGAGCAAATGTGTTCTAAAAATAGATGATGTGGCAAATTAGGAGTAAAAAAGAAATATATACCTTAAGTACTCTGAATGCTAATTTGTTCATCCAAGGAGGAAACTATCCTTGTAATAGTGTCTTCCTTGACAATAAAGAAGTCAACGTTTTTTAGTTAATTTCAAATGTTAGAAGAAAACAGAATTAGCTTGAAGTGTAGAGGTAAAAATGAGCTGTTGTTAGGTGCTGTCGAGTCGGTTACAACTCATAGGGACCCTATGTACAACAGAACGAAACACTGCCCGGTCCTGCGCCATCTTCATAATCATTGTTATGCTTGAGCCCATTGTTGCAGCCACCGGGTCAATATATCTCATTAACGGTTTTCCTCTTTTTTGCTGACTATCTCCTTTACCAATCATGATGTCCTTCTCCAGGGACTGGCTCCTCCTGATAACATCCCCAAAGTATCCAAGACAAAATCTCGCCATCCTCGCATCCAAGGGGCACTCTGGCTGTATTTATTCCAAGACAGACATGATCATTCTTCTGGCAGTCCATGAGATATTCAATATTCTTCGCCAACACCATAATTCACAGGCATCAATTCTTCTTCCGTCTTCCTTATTCATTGTCCAGCTTTCACATTCATATGAGGTGATTGAAAATACCATGGATTGCATCAGGGGCACCATAGTCCTTAAAGTGACATCTTTGCTTTTCAACACTTTAAAGAGGTCTTTTGCAGCAGATTTCCCCAATGCAATCTGTTGTTTGATTTCTTGACTGCTGTTTCCATGGGCGTGGACTGTGGATCTAAGTAAAATGAAATGCCTGACAATTTCAATGTTTTCTCCATTTATTATGAAGTTTAGCTTATTGGTCCAGTTGTGAGGATTTTTGTTTTCTTTATGTTGAGGTGTAATCCATACTGAAGGCTGTTATGTAGTCTCTGATCTTCATCAGTAAGTGCTTCAGGTCCCCTTCACTTTCAGCAAGCAAGGTTGTGTCATCTGCATATCGATGGTTGATAATAAGTCTTCCTCCAAGCTTGATGCTGTGTTCTTCTTCATATAATCCAGCTTCTTGGATTATTTGTTCAGCATACAGATTGAATAAGTATGGTGAAAGGATACAACTCTGATGCACATCTTTCCTGATTTTAAACCACGCAGTGTCCCCTTGTTCTGTTTGAAGGACTGCCTCTTGGCCTATGTATAGGTTCCTCATGAGCACAATTAAGTGTTCTGTGATTCTTGTTCTTCACAATGTTATCCATAATTTGTTATGATCCACATAGTCAAATGCCTTTGCATAGTCAGTAAAGCACAGGTAAGCATGTTTCTGGTATTCTCTGCTTTCAGCCGAGATCTGTCTGACCTTAGCAATGACATCCCTCATTCCATGTTGTCTTCTCAGTCTAGCTTGAATTTCTGGCAGTTCCCTGTCAATGTACTGCTACAGTTGCTTTTGAATGACCTTCAGCAAACTTTTACTTGTGTGTGACATTAATGACATTTCTCGATAATTTCTGCATTCTTCTGGATCACCTTTCTTTGGAATAGACACAAGTGTGTATCTCTTCCAGTCTATTGGCCAGGCAGCTGTCTTCCAAATTTCTTGGCATAGAGGAGTGAGCACTTCCAGTGCTGCATCCATTTATTGAAACACCTTAATTGGTGTCCTGTCACTTCCTAGAAACTTGTTTTTCACCAATGCCTTCAGTGCAGCTTGAACTTCTTTCATTACCATTGGTTCTTGATCATATGCTACTTCCTAACTAATGACTGAATGTCGACCAATTCTTTTTGATACAGTGACTCCGTATTCCTTCCATCTTTGTTTGATGCTTCCTGCATTGTTTAATATTTTCCCCATACAATCCTTCAATATTGCAACCTGAGTCTTGAATTTCTTCTTCAGTTCTTTCAGTTTGAGATATGCCAAGTATGTTCTTCCCTTTTGGTTTTCCAAGTCCAGGTCTTTGCACATTTCATTATAATACTTTACTTTGTCTTCTTAAGCTGCCCTTTGAAATCTTCTGTTCAGCTCTCTTACTTCATCATTTCTTCCCTTCGTGTTAGCTACTCTATGTTCAAGAGCAAGTTTCAGAGTCTCTTCTGACATCCATTTTAGTCTTTTCTCTCTTTCCTGTCTTTTCAGTGACCTCTTGCTTTCTTCCACAACTAACAAATTCTATGACAGCTTTCCATATAAGCTTATCTTTGTGTATCGTGAGCAAGCCATGTTTAATTAACTAAGTAGCTAGCAAGCTACCAAACTATATACATAAATTAAAGGGGAAAGGTCTCAGAAGGTTAAAGAGTAAATTATTTCTCACAGAGAATTCTATGAGGTGGCAATATCTTTTCTTCAATTCACAGAAAAACAGATAGAAATACTAGGTCAGAATCCAATTGGTTACTCAGCAAATAACCTGGACAAAAGACCGAGGACCTCTCATAGGGCCACACTACTTCACAAAGGGATAGAATATTTAACAAGTGACACACAGGGATGGAAGGGATGGAGATGAGGCAAGTGACCAAAAAGAACTATTTACTCTATCCCAATCACATTCTGGTGATTACGTGCTGACGATATCAATTTTCTCTTCCTCTCCTGCTACAGGAGATAGACATCATGCCCTGATTCACAGTCTACCTTCCCAGCCATGGCTAACTTAAAGAGAAATATTCACAAAAGATCAACCACTTAAGATATTATTGACAGCATGTGTTAGGATCCTAGCATATACAAATATGTATGAAATAAAATCTCTTTTCATAGGGAATTTACAATCCAGTTGGGAGAAACAGCAATACTTGAGAATTTAAGCAGCAGCAGAGAA